TCTTCTTTCCTATAGGCCCCCTTTAAGTACTGGAAGGCTGCTATAAGGTCTCCCTTCTCTTCTCCAGGCTGAACAACCCCAACTCTCTCAGCCTGTCCTCATAGGAGAGGTGCTCCAGCCCTCTGATCATTTCTGTGACCCTTCTCGGGATCTGCTCCAATCCAATCCAATCTTTTCCTGTGCTGAGGGCCTCAGAGCTGAACTCCAGGATGGGTCTCAGCAGAGCAGGATAAGGTAGAACTTAGGCAGTCTGGCACTTTGCTCTGTAGATTATCTATAAAGGATGTACAGTCTTCCAAAAGAGAACATTACAATGTCTCATGCAACTCTGTGCCTCCTAACTGAGAGGAGATAAGTTTGTGAAGGAAGCAAAAATGGGGATTTAAAAAATTTTCATCTTCATTTGAATCTTGAAGCCTAAATTCACTATAAATTCCCAGTTCTGTCTGACATCTCAGGAAATTCTGTCTGAAACTTCAAGAAAGCCGTTAGCCAGCACCAGTGGTCTGGGTTTCATGTGACTGCGTTAGCGGCATGATCATAGTGCTGAGCATGAAGGCAGTGCTACAAATGTGCATCAGGAGAAAGAGTTGGGGGAAAAATATGTATTATTTGTCAGCATGCTGTGTGCTGCTCTTATGTGTCTTACTTAAAGCAGCTAGCAGTGCTGGCTTGTCCCTGTTGGACGGAAACAGTGATTTACTGGAGAACGAACAGAAATACCTGTAGTTTTATGTGAATCCCTGTGTTAATGGTGTCATTTTGGAGATTTGGCATGTTTTTAGATTGAATTTGAACCTTGTTTAGTATGATTCAGTTGCTCGCCACTTCTGTTAACCAAAGATAATTTCAAACTATTTAGCACCATTCTAAACGTGATTAAGAAGGTCTAGAGTATGTAATCCATGCTCCAGGAAAGCAAAAAAAGATGGTGGTATTGCTTCCTGCTTTTGTTGTATTTTCCTCGTTAATACAGAACTCGCATTAGCAGAAGCTAACCTATATTTGATTTGTGAAAACTTCAATGACCTGTATTATGTTGAAACTTCATAGTGAAATCAACAGTGAAAATTGCTTCTATTTGAATAAATGTTTATAAGATTGAAAGGATGATAAATAGGTATAGAGATATTACAGGATATGGGTTTTTTCGTAGGACTTTGAAATACGAGGTGTGTAGAATCTTCTTGAAACTACAGTTTCATGCAAGAAGCGTATGTGTGAGAAAACAGTTGTAGATCAATGCACACACTTAAAAATTAACACCTATACAGTAATCAGAAAATATGGCCTAGAGGATTTGAGGATTTGGGGAAGCATTTTAAAGATTCTTTTCCTCAGGTTGCCTCCAGTTTCTTAAATGCTGTTTGGTATTAACCATATGTCCTCTGTCTTTTTTTTCCTCTAAGTGTTAAGAGTTAGTTCAGTTAATAAAAATTTTGTTTCAAATATCTCTTAAAAATGGGTACAAGTTTGGAATTTGGATATACCCAGAAAGAGGATCCTTGATTCTTGTTTTCCTGTATGGATTTGAATCTTGTGTGCTCTAGAGCAAGCAGAACAAAAATGCACACCCCCTTTAAAGGTAAGACAGCAACAATGAAAAGAAAACCCACACAACTTTGGGGAGCTATTTATTTTCATTGCAAGTTTCAACAGCACAAGTTTCAGAGACATGAAGCTTTATTTTTAGTACTATTTAAAAAAGAGAATAAAGAAAGTGAGGCAGAGAAGAAAAATTAATGTTATAAATTTTAATTAAACTTGGGAAAGCAAAAAGTCCAAACTTAAAGCTGCCCATTTGGTCTGACACTGTCCTTAATTGACCTTGCTGATCTTACCAAATAGAGTTTTCACTCCATTCTGTATTTCTTTACTTCTGAGTATTTCAGGCCAGCCTCTCGTGTCACTGTAACATAGGGATTTTTAATATTTTTTTTTCTTTTGTGGTTTAATTGTATGAAAAAATTTTGTGCTGTATTCTTGGACCTGTACAGATGGTTCTATGCCAAACATATTTGTTTACCGTGGTAATGTCTGAGTTGCAGTGTGCCAGCTAATAAAGGGATTTATTTAAGGAACAAGGTGAATGACTAAAACAGATGTGCCAGTTGGGTGAACCATTAAAAGAATCTTACTTCTCAGCTTTATGTAGAGGTTATTTTTAATGCATTTCTGAGAAATCAAGAGTAGTTGCAAGGATGTTTCTGAGACAGCTGAAGACATCTTGTCAGTTTTCTTGGGTGTCTTTTTCCTGTGGACTTAAGACACATTAGTCTTTCATCTGTCTTACTGAAGAATTTGTGAAGACAGCAGATAAAAGTCCTGAGTTTCGATGTCTGATCAAGTATTATAATCTCATAATGGATTTTATCCTGTTTATAAATTGAATGATTCTGTCTTTCAGTTGTGGGGAAACCTATTTTAATATTCCTGTAATGCAGATGTAGATTTATGTAATGTGATACGGATATGTGTCTTAATTCCATGAAAATCCTGGGTCAACCTACTGTAATAATACTAAAACCTTACACATCTTACCCTGTTTTACCAGAAACAGAAGCACTCTGGCTGCTAAGCATTTTAACTAGGATTGGTGTAGAAGTGCTTGAGAGAGAAGCTTAACCTGTGACTTAAATACTGTTAGCCCAAGCACTTCGGCTGGTGGCTTCCAGAAACTCCACTTGTTCTGCTGCTGTTGATATTTTTGACTGGAATACCTCTTCTTAGAAATTGACTTTTGTGAATTAGAGATTTGTAATCTTGTTTCTTAGATGTTGATCAGTTCAGCTGGGAAGAAACCAGGAGACTGTGGGACTGCTAAAGAGAAGTTAAACAAACAAACTGAAAGCATGTTAATATTTTTTAAACTTTAGTTTTTTGGGTGTACAAAATATTTCTACTGAATTTCCTTTAGTTTAGGAGTTACCTTTTTTAGTAGATGAGGAAAGGCTAACTTGAAAAAATTCAACTTGTTAGTTGTGTTGCTTAATACATGTTTTGTTTTGAATTAACCAAATGAGGGGCTGCTTAAAGTACACACCGTACTAAACTTGACCACATACTTGTATGCCATTTTGAATAACAGCAGTTTTTAGGGACTTGTTCTCGAAGCTGTGCTCTAAAAGATGAAACAGTGTAGTCTGTCTGTCTGTACCTATCTGTTGCTGTTTGTCTCTTTCTTTCTATTTGACTTACCAGCTTTTATGCCATTTATTTCCTGTTCATGGCACCAGGCAGAAGGAAATCTCTGTTCTCTCATTTTTGCCTTGTGTGACTGAGTAATGCAGATAGTATACTGGCTCTTATGTGCTTGTACTAGTGGCAGTATTTCTGATTTAGAAATAGCCATTTATGTATGTGAAGCCTCTCTGGTATTAATAAAGGCAGAATTTGTTCCTTCATTAAGAATAATTGAAATAGTGGCTTTCTCATTTTAGGTTAGTTGTGGTTTTGTGTAATCCTAGTACTGAAAAGAATCCAGAGAGAGCACAGAAGTCAGTGTTAGTGTTTTCAGTGGGCTGCCGTCCAGACAAATTTATCAAAGGCTGGCTGTTTGTAGGCAGTGATTGTAATCTGAGCTGAGCTCATCTGAGCTTAAGTAAAAATGAAAAATGTGCCCCCTGGTTAAACATTGCAATTAAGGATTTCAGGGGGCTTGGTTTTGTGAGGTGAAGCATCGATCTCATAGCGGTATGCTTGGTATTAAATTGTAGAGCCGTTGGAAGGCAATTTTAGAGCCATTGCTAAGCAATTAGATCACCTTTCTTGGGATTTCAGGACTCTGTTCATCTTATTTAAAACCAAAGAAAAGGCTGCTTTGAATAGTAGCTTCCTTCATTGTCTGAGGTTTGGGCATCATATTAAAGCACCTAAAATACTAATCTGACGACACAATATTCTGGCAGAGGGGAGTATCATGACTCTAATTTGTGCAGCAATCCAAGAAGCACATGACAATTTTTTCAGCTGTTTTTATGAGATACCTGCCCCATAAAGGTGAGAATGGCTGTATTTGTTTAAGAAAAAGAAAAATGAACAGAATCACAGAATGTCAGGGGTTGGAAGGGACCTCAAAAGATCATCTAGTTTAGCCCCCTGCCAGAGCAGGATCACCTACAGCAGATCACACAAGTACTCATCCAGGTTGGTTTTGAATGTCTCCAAAGAAGACTCCACAACCTCCCTGGGCAGCCTGTGCCAGTGCTCGGTCACCCTCACAGTGAAAAAGTTTTTTCTAATATTTTTATGGGACCTCCTATGTTCCAGCTTGTACCCATTACTCCTTGTCCTGTCATTGGACGTCACTGAAAAGAGCCTGGCTCCGTCCTCCTGACACTCCCCCTCGACGTATTTATAAACATTAATGTGGTCACACTCTCAGCCTCCTCTTCTCCAAGCTAAAGAGACCCAGCTCCTTCAGCCTTTCCTCATAAGGGAGATGTTCCACTCCCTCCATCATCTCTGTGGCTCTGCACTGGACTCTCTCAAGCAGTTCCCTGTCTGTCTTGAGCTGAGGGGCCCAGAACTGGACACAATATTCCAGATGTAACAGAAGGAAGAAGTTTTTGTAAATGCCTAGAGGTTCATAATACCCTACCTCAACTGAATCCTGTAAAGTTAGCTCCTGCAAAGCTGTCTTGTTTAGCAGTTACTTCAGGTTGTCCTGTTCCAAGGTAGACTTCAGCCCTAACTTTGTTTAAGACCCTCTTGACATAATTAAGACTTAAAATGTTAAGCTGACCTGATCAACCTTGACGTTGAACTGACTAAAACTTGTGTTTTATATAGCATCCAAATGCTGTCTTCTTTCTTGAAGGACCATGTTTTGAATGCAAGGAAATGCAGTGTAGCTGGATATAAATTTGAGTTAGACCCAGAACAGGTTCCTTCTCTCTTTTGCTGAAGAGATACTGAATTGTTTTTATTTATCATGCATACTGAAGCCCTTGATCTTATGCTTGGTTAATCATTTGTTTTCTTTACTTCCACCACTGCAGGCCATACACACCTATGAAAGGAGCCCTTTCCACTGTGTGGTTTGACAGGTATAAGATCTCTAATGATTGTCCAGAACACATTGAAAGTATTGATTCTATGTGCCGGGGACTTACAGACTTGATCAACGATGAGATTAAAAGCGGTATTGCAAAGAATAGGATACTAATAGGTAAGAGACACTTATTTTTAATTTGTTTATTGTGATGGTTTTCAATTGTTGAGGGAACATCTGCTTGACTTCGATGGTTTACTCTGTTCTGAAAGCTCCTGAGCATGCCTTGCCACTGCTGAACAGCCTCTTCAGCAGCCAATCCTCAAGAATATTGAATCAGTATTTAAACCCGTATCAGGTGGGAAATATGGCTAACAGTAAACAGTGTCATCAAAAATGTAACTTAAAACTGTTTTTATTGTAAATAGTAGTTTGTAATCGTTATTTAAAATACAGAGTGGGCAGTGATTTACTTTAAAAAGTACATATTTTTACTATTTCCTTTTAGCTCTTTTCAAGGATGGAAAAGTATACTTTCCAAAAATGACTTTGCGGAGTGAAAATGTAGCATATAAATAACCACAAGCTTTGTCTAACTGCTCTAATAATTTTGGGTTAAGTTGGGGAAAAATTTGCATATTGTACATGGCCAATGATAGGACAAGGGGCATTGGGTGCAAGCTGGAGCATAGGAGATTTCACAAAAACATTAGGAAAACTTTTCCACTGTGAGGGTGACAGAGCCCTGGCACAGGCTGCCCAGGGAGGTTGTGGAGTCTCCTTCTCTGGAGACGTTCAGACCTCACCTGGACACGTTGCTGTGTGACCTACTGTGGGTGATCCTGCTCCGGCTGGGGGGGTTGGACTAGATGGTCTTTCAAGGTCCCTTCCAACCCCTGACATTTTGTGGTTCTGTGATCAATAAAGGTTAACACTTGATAACAAGTGAAGTATTAGCTGTCATGGTTCATATGTGTCTATCTTCCTGTCCCTCTTAAGTTCCATGAATTTCCAGTAACTTTCACAATGCTTCTGTGAAATAGGTAGAGAGATACTGAGGCACAGGAGTTGAGGGCAGTGGAGTAGCCTGTGTTGGAGAGGGAATGAGAATTCATGAGTCCTTGGCTCCCTGTCCCATCCTTAGACCACAAACTATTTCAGGTTGGGGAAAAAACTCTTCATGTGGGAACTTAGAAATTTATGGCCAACTGAGTCATGCCATCAAAATCCTGCGTGGTGGAGCCACTACCATTCAGCCTACATGTTCTCTTGGTCCAGCCCCATGTTGCTCTTTGAAGGCCTCTGTTTACTTTCCCTTTCTGGCTCCTTACCCTGGCTGCAGAATGCCTTGTTTTGGACGTCTGTCAGCACAGTCTCTTTGATCTGTCTTTCCTGTGTTATACCTGCTCGCTTGGAAACAGCTGAAGAAGTGCAGGTGCCTTTCTGTAGAGTGAGCTGGGAGATGTTCTGTGTACAGATCCAACTTGCTACTAGGCTTTTTTTCCTTTCTTTATAGCCTTCAAAATTAGAACTAGTGAGACTCTGGAGTATGAAAGTTGGTTTTTTACAGGTCATAAGCAGAGTAAGGAAGTTGGTATGCACTGATTGTTTCAGCCCAGGGGATTCTTTGGGAGTTCCCGTCTCTGTGTGTTTCCATTCCTCATCTGTAAATCAGAAATAGATATACTTATTTTCTCACACTTGAGAGCCTGGATTTCAGCCTTCTAGAGTAAGTCACTGTTTCCTTGTCTCTGTGACAGAGACTATGAGCATACATCATCACATTTGAACCTAAGATTTGTGCAGCAAGCAAAATAAGACAGCCCTGTATTAGCACCAACCAGAACGGGACCCATGTGGATGCATAAGAAATTGAATTGTGGCTGCACAAGAGTAAGTGTTCTTCCATGAGAATTTTGTACCTTCTCTGCACTGGTTTTGATGATTAACCAGTGTGTGATGCAGTGGAGGATGAAGCTTTGTTTCTGTGCGTAGAGGTTGGCTTTAGTATCAGTCTTGAGTCAGCCTCATGTGACATTCTTAGTTGTTTTAGACGGGACTTTGTGTGAATTATTGCCCATCTTCTGGCATTGTTTCTTACAGGAAATTGGGAATTCTGTAAAGGCAGCTGGCAGCTTTATAACATTTTTTATGAAAAGAGAGTGTGAGGCCAAGATGTGGTAATGAAGATGTAGTCAGTATGCCTGCACCAAACAGTAATGTCCACTGGAAAAGGAGAAATGAGTGGCCTGAAATTTTTATGAGTTTGGGAAAGATTGGTGTACAGGAGATAATGGAAGATATGGTCACTTACTTAGAATGTCAGAGAACTACATCCTCTCAAATGGTTTTAGATTTCTCTTTGAAAAAGTCAAGAATATCCCTCTGGTACAAGAAGAGGACACATGAGCTAAGAGGTAGGGAGCAAAGAGTGGATTTCTGACTGCTGGTACCATAGAGTTGGAGGCGGCAGCTTTCTTGAGGTGAAGTGAAAAAATATGACAATTATAGCAGAGGAGACCATGCTGAACTTTTGCCATGAGTATTTCCTCAGTGTATTCAATGACGTTGAGTAATGTTGGAGATCCATAATGGGAATGGTGGTACGCATTGCATTATGGAAAGTAGAGACAAAATAGTTGAGAGAAGAGACTGGAGGGCTTGGGACTCTGTGAAGAGCAGTGGGGTCCTTTTCAGGTAGGTCACAAAAGAAGCCAAGAGAGCCAAGAGGTAGTTACAGGGAGTTAAATGGTTGTTAAAGGGTTAAGGAGAACAGGGTGGTGGGACCCTCTGTTTTGTAATGAGTGGGAGTTTTAATGAGTGGAAAGAAAACAAAATGAGCATGAGGAGGGTAACAAGATTGAAGGTTATGGTTTTATATGGGATGGCGGACTAGAAATTACAGGCTGAGGATGAGTGTCAGATGTTGTTAGATGAGGGCTCGCAAGGTGTTAGGCAAGCAGGAAGGTGGGCAGCTGCTGACAGCTCAGAGGTGTGGGATAAGAAGGCAAGATCTGAGGGAGCACTGTGCAAAGGAGAGTGAGTGGGAAGAGAGGGGAAGCAGGACCAGGCTCTCAAGCAGTGGAAAATGAGAAGCCCAGCACCTGGTGTTCTGGGGGATGATTCTCCTTCTGGAATCACTCAGACTTTCCACAAGGCTCAAGACTGTGGGTGCAGTAAGATCATTTGTCCTGAAAGAAATTATAGCCTGTGCTGTTTGTTTCGGTAGTGCACTTAGCTCTGAAACCCACAAGTGGCTGCTTGTAGGGCAGAACTCTAAACCTGAGGATGGAGTCCACGCTGTGGTGCAATTCCACTTCTCTTTTGCTATATCAAGAAAAATATTGATGCAACCTTGTTTTTAACAGCTGCTCTGTGAATCTACTTCTAAAGAATTCAATTACTTAGTTTACTGGAGGTTTAATCACGTCTTATTATTAAAACCTCCATATTGATTTAGTGTAACAGTTAGCACAAGTGGTACATGGCTCATCTACCCATTCCTACTTCCTTGCAGTTTCATGGGTTGCTTTCCTATTAATACAGTAGTCTTTTGAAGGAGTTCTACCTTGGTAAACCAGAAGTGTGTTTCCCCTGACCTTAGAGGAGGATGGAAGGAAGACTGACTGCAATATATAATTATTCAGGAAGAATTATATCATCTCCAGAGTTTGATAATGGCAGTCACTTTTTAGCCAAACATTCTTCTTGAGTTACTCTTACTGGTCTTGCTGGCTAAAGCACTTCCTGCAAATAATCCTCTAAGTAGGTTTATGTTGACTTTGGAGATAAAAGAGGATGATAAAATTAGTCAAATTCTGACACTTGGAGATTTGATAGTATCGCTTCTTAAAAACTGGATGTATTCCTTCTTTATAAATGCCTGAATTCATTGCTAAATTAGCAAAGCAAGCAAATAACCACAGTTTGAAATGTGGGACGATAATTTCCTTTTCTTTTTAAAGCTGAGTTGGTTTTTCAGGTGCCAGTGGTTTTTCTTTGTTCTGTTTTCTGTTTGTTTTGTTGGGTTTTTTAAACTGCTCCTATAGTGATAGCTCACTATAAAATAACTCCACTTAGGTGGAAATTGTCAAAGATTTAAACCGTCTTATTCAAGAATATGTTAGAGGCTCTTGAAAGAAATGGCCACTTCACATTTGGAGCATGCTGATGGTGTTCCCTTTAGTCAACTGCACTTCAGTGAAAGACAATCTTTCTGTTCTCCTCTTCTTGTCCCTAATTTAATGCTACTTTCCTACTTTTAGAGGTCACTTTTTGTGTAGTGCCGAAATGCTGATCCAAGCGTGTTGGTCTCTGCCACCTGTAGTCACTTGTGTAAGCAGCCAGTGAAAATAAACTTTCCATAACAGTCCTGTAGATTTGAGTGGACGCCAAAACACACATGCATGATTTCTGACCCCTTCTACTCTAACAATAACACGAGACACACAACCACTTTTTGTTTATTGCTAGGCTTGTTACATAGCTACTGAACCATGGTGGAAGCAACATGAAAGCTCTGTGCTTCTTGTAAATATTAGCATTTCCATCTCTCTCAGTGTGTGTGAGAATGAGCTATCTTGGCTTTGACTTCGCAGAGAAAGAGGATTCTGTAAATATGGGAAGATAAGAAAATGAGCAATAAATCGTTAAAATAGGCAAACTACTTCACCTACAATCTTGATATTTTATGTCTTTTGCTTCTAAGCCTTTTGCTGTTGCTGATCCTATCTTGTATCTTCTGTCTTTTTTAGGCAAATGTCTTTCATTCGAAGGCACTTACTACCTTGCTTCCACTGGGTAAATCCATGATTTTATATTGCCATTTGTTACTATGATTCAAATGAGGTTTCTCTTTCTGTACCACCCATTACGTGGCTTTGTGGTTCCTCTAAATTATGCCTGTGAGATGCTGTGCTCAAAGCAGTACTGTTAGTCCATCTCCACCATAATATCAGCGAACATTTCATTAATTTTCAGTGGGTCAGCGTAAATTTGCATTGCATTTCTACTGCAAGGAAAATGTTTGCTCCTTTTTTTTGTTTGCACCTGAACTGGCTGTTTATTTTTCTTTTGCATCTCTATTGCTCGTTTTACTTCCTGATGTGCAAGCGAGAGACGTTAGCAAGTGCCTAGTTCTATTTCCTTCAAAAATTATTCAGTAGGAGATACAAATG